TCTAGCAATAAATAAATCTCACTTGGATTATGGTATATAATCTTTTTAATGTATTTCTGAATTTGCTTTGCTAGTATTTTGTTAAAGATTTTTGCATCCGTGTTCATAAAGGATACTGGTCTATATTTTTCTTTAGAGCCTTTGTCTGACTTTGATATCAGGGTAATTTTGGCTTCATAGAATTAGTTAGGAAGTATAGACAGTCTTTCTTCCTTTTCAGATTTTAGGAAGAGTTTGAGAAGGATTATGTTTAGTTTTTCCTTAAATGTTTGGTACATTTTCACCAGAGAAGCTCCAGGGCAGGGCTTTTCTTTGTACAGAGATTTTTGATTACTGATTCTAGATACCAGTCCTTTGATGGATATGTGGTATGCACATATTTTTTGTCAGTCTTTATCTTCTCATTTCATTCTTTTATTAGAGTTTTTCACAGAGCAAAAAATTGTAAATTTTGATGACTCCAATAGATAAATGTTTTTTTCTTTTATAGGTTGTTCTTTTTTGTGTTAAGTTTTAAGAACACTGCCTAGCTTTAGATTCCAACCGGTTTTTAAAAAAATTTTTTTTATAGTTTTATATTTTACATTTAAGTTCATTATCCATTTTAAATTAATTTTTGTATAAGCCAGATGTTTTTTGTTGTTGTTTTCTAAGTAGATGTCCATCTGCTTCAAGACCAAGAATGTCTTTTCTCTCGTTTTCTTTCACCTTTGTCAAAATTTAGTTAAGCATGTTTGTATGGGTCTGTTTCTTTGCGTGTCTGTTTCTATTTCTGCTTAATTCTGTCCCATAGATCACTGTCTCTTCCCTCATCAGTACTGTACAGTCTTGATTACTGTAGCTATATAATAAGTCTTGCAATTGGGTAGACTGATTCTTCCCAGTTTAATTAAAAATTATTTTTAGCTTTGCCTTTCCATAAAACTTTTTAGGATAATCTTGTATTTATTTACTAAAAATCTTTTTGAGATTCTGATAGGAATTATGTTAAACCTCTGTATCAATTTGAGGACAATTGATGTCTTTACTATGTTAGTTTGTTAGTTCATGAACTTGGTATGTCTGTCTGTGTCTTTATTTATTTATTTTTTACCACTGCTGCACATGTGTAAAGAACTGTGTCTGTGTCTTTAGATCTCTGATTTCTTTCATCATTGTTGCTTAGTTTTCAGCATTCCGTACATGTAGATTTACACCTGAGCATCTCGTTTTTTTTTTTTTCAGTGATAGTAAGTGTTTGAGCTCATTTATTAGCTTAAGGAGTTCTTTTTGTTTTCTGTTCTTTGGGTAGTTTCCTCGAGATTTTACATACACAGTCATATTCATCCATAAACAGGGGTAGCTTTATATCTTCATTTTAAATCTGTATGCATTGTATTTGTTCTTGTTGCCTTATTGTGCATTTCATCACTATATTGAGTGAGAGTGGTGAAAGCAGACATCCTTCCTTTGTTTTCCTGTGTTCTTCCCTTAAAGGGAATACATTCAGTCTTTAATAATTAAATGTAATGTTAGTTGTAAGGTTTTTATAGATGTTCTTTATTGAGTTGAGGAAGTACCCATTCATTCCTGTTTTCTGAGAGTTTTTATTGTGACTAGATGTTGGATTTTGTCAGATGCTTTATCTGCATCTGTTGATGTGATCATGTGATTTTTCTTTAGCCATTTCATGTGGATTTTATTGATTGCTGTTCAAATATTGAATTAGCTTTGTATCCTTGAAATAAACAACTTGGTCATGATACAGAATCTTCTGTAGATATTGCTGAATTGTATCTGCCAATACTTTGGTAAAGATTTTTGTATCTATATTGAGGGATGTTGTTTTATAGTTTTCCTTTTTGTACTTTTTCTGTGTAGTTTTAGTATCATGGTAACATTAGCTTCATAAAATGAATGGGAAAGTATGCCTTCCCCTTTTATTTTCTGAAAGAGGTTTTTTAAAATTGGTGTTAATTCTTCTTTAAATGTTTGGTGGCGTTCTCCATTGAACCCAGCTGCGTCTTCTTTTTTGGAAATTTAAAAATTATATTTTCTGTTTCCTTAGTACTTACATTATTATTTAAATGATCTATTTTATGTGCGTTTTGGTAGTTGGTGTTTTTAAATGAATTGGTCCGTTTTGTCTAAGATAGCAAATTTATGTATGTAGAGTTGCTGCAGTATTTTGTTATCCTTTTAATGTCTATAGGTTCTGTAGTGATATTTCATTTCTGATGTTGGAAATGTGTGTATTTCTCTTTTTTTCTTGTCAGTCTTGCTAGAGGTTTCTCAGTTATACTGAAATTTAAAAAAAAAAACAAGCTCTTTATTTCAGTGCATTTTCTCTGTTGCACAGAAGTAAAGAGCTTTTGTTCTTATTTTCAGTTTTATTGATTTCTACTCATTCTTTCCTTCTGATCATTTGGGTTTATTTTGTTCTTTGTTTTTTTGTTTTGTTTTAGACATCGTCTAACTCTGTCACCTAGGCTCTGGAGTACAGGCTCACTGCAACCTTTGCTTTCCAGGTTCAAGTGATTCTTGTGCCTCTGCCCCTCAAGTAGCTAGGATTACAGGCACGTGCTACCACACCCAGCTAATTTTTGTATTTTTAGTAGAGACGAGGTTTCTTCACCTTGCACAGACTGGTCTTGAGCTCAAGTGATCCACCTTGGCCTCCCACAGTGCTGAGATTACAGGCATGAGCTACTATACCCGGCCTTAATTTGTTCCTTTTCTAGATTTATGAAGCGGGAGCTTAGATTATTGATTTGGAACTTTTTCTCTTTTCTAATGGAAGCATTTAATACTATACATTTATCTCTCAGCGCTTCTCTAGTTATATCTTACAAAATGAGATATGTGTATTTTTATTTTCTTTCTTGTTTTGGGACAGAGTCTCACTCTGTTGCCAAGGCTGGAGTGCAATGGCACAATCTCGGCTCACTGCAACCTCTGCCTTCCAGGTTCAAGCAATTCTCCTGTCTTAGCCTCCCAAGTAGCTGGGACCACAGGCATGTGCCACCATGCTCAGCTAATTTTTATGCCTTTGGCAAAGATGAGGTTTCACCATGCTGGACAGGCTGGTCTCGAACTCCTGACCTCAGGTGATCCACCCACCTCAGCCTCCTAAAGTTCTGGGATTACAAGTGTGAGCTACTGTGCCTGGCCCATATTTTTATTTTCATTTAGTTCTGTGTACTTTAATTTCCCTTGAGACTTCCTCTTTTTATTTCGAAGTATATTTTTGGGTTTCTGAGTGTTTGGAAGATTTCCTGTTATTTTTCTTTTATTGATTTCTAGCTTGGTTCTTGGTAATCACAGAACATATTATATGTGATTTTTTAAAAAATTTCCATAGATTTTTGGGGAACAGGTGATAATTTGGTTACATGAATAAGTTATTTAGTGGTGATTTGTGAGATTTTGGAGCACCTGTTAGCTGAGCAGTATACACTGAATATGAAGGCAGTTTTAAAAAATCTTTTGATGTATGTTTTATTGTCCAAAATATGGTTTATTATTGCTGTATGTTCTATGGGTAGTTGAAAAGAATTTGTATTTTTCTGTATTTGGAATGTTCTGTAAATGTTAGCTCACGTCTGTTAGTTGATGGTGTTGTTGAATTCTTATGTAATCTTACAGATTTTCTGCTAGTTGTTCTATCACTTATTGATGGAGGTGGTCACATCTTCAACTTGCAGATTTGTCTTTTTTTTTCATTGTTCTGTCAGATCCTGCTTTGTATATTTTGGAGCTTTGTTGTTTGGCACTTACATATTACAATTGCTGTATCTTCTAGGTGCATTGACCCTTTATTATTACATCTCTGATAATTTTCTTTGCTCTGAAGTCAACTTTATCAAACACAAATATTAAACTGTATATATATTTAGCTATACTTGTGTTTGATAAACTTGACTTCAGAGCATAGAAAATTATCAGCTAATTTTAAATTAACTGAATAAATTATCAGCTAATATTAAAAATATTAGTTAATATAATATCAAGTTAATTAAAAATATCAAGTTAATATTTGCATGATATATCTTTTTCTGTCCTCAATCTGCCTACTTTGTTATATTTTGAGTGAGTTTCTTGTAGCTAGCATATAATTAGGTCATGTTTCTAGTTGCTGGCTTCTTCATCTCCGAATCTGGGATATATGCGATAAAAAGAAAAATCAGGGAATTCACAATCCTGTCATCACTGAGACCCCTAGTCAGTCTACCTTCTTCTCACCACCTTTCAGTGTTGTTTTCTATATTAATACAATGTCCAGGGTTTCTAGTTGTACTTAGCAGGAGGCATAGGGAAAAGTACATCTACTTCATCTTCCTGAGGAGGAAGTTCCAGGGCTTCGCTTTATTTATTGCCATATCCCTACTGTCTACGTCAGATAATCATCAATGTTCAGTAAATATCTGTTGAAAGAATTAATGATGTGTTGATCTGAGTGAATTTGTATGTTAATTTTATGTATGTAAAATACTTGATTGTTTCTTACTGCAAAACATTCAGAGAATATTAGTTTTTTCCCCCTACCAAGGTCAGATTTAGTCTTATCTGAGTGCATTATAATTTTTCTTAATTTCATTGATGGTTATTTACATTTTGCCCCACTTTCACTAATCTATGGTAGAAAATGAAAATTAGAGAATGTTTTCAGCCCTGCATGTTTATGTTCTCTATGCCTAAATGACACAAAGTCCAGTAAATACTTAACTCCAATTATATCATACTTTCCTGACAAGTGCATTGTAGAGATTGAGATAGAGACAGTTATGCTCCTTATAATAATTGAAGTACTGCTGATAATTTGGGATGTATTAACACAAGCTTTGTTTTAAAATTGTTTTGTTGGTTAGAAGTCTGTTAGCTACCTTTAGAGGTGAATTAAATTAGATAATATACAACATTTTGAAAGATGCCACCTGGATGAGGATCAGGTGCAGGAAATATTTGTTTCTCTTTGAGCCTGAGAGATTTCTTATTGTCCTGTTTAATTGGTGCTATTATAGGTCCCTTCAATAATCAGGAGATGGCAGAATGGTTTCAGGCGGGCTATTTTACTATGTCTTTATTGGTGAAGAGAGCATGTGATGAAAGCTTCCAACCTCTTGGCGATATCATGAAAATGTGGGGAAGGGTTCCCTTTTCTCCAGGTCCAGCTCCCCCTCCCCATATGGTAAGTACCTTCTACCTCACCCGGAATGTATATTAGACACAGATGCACTTGATTCTCTTTGAAAACACAACCCAAATATATTATCTAATGAAGGAATTGTAGTTCTTTGAAATTAATGGAAATGGAAAGAGGAAGTCTGAATGGAAGACTAAATGCTTAACTATAATGATCTTTTCAAAACCCAAATAACCTGTGCCCATCCTCTTCACCCAACCTCCTCCTCAACAGTGAAACGGAATCCTTCAGTAGCATTCCAGCAGATGTAGAATGAAGACCTGCATCTTATCCTGGCCTGCCTACCAGGTCCTGCAGTGCCTGTCACCTTATCTTTCTAAGCTCATTTCAGAGATTTTACCTTTATCTGCTAGGCTTCAACACAGTTGACCTATCTGACTTTCTTACTACCTCTAGTTAGAATAAACATTCTTCTGTGTTCAACTTCATTTTCCTCTTGCCTTCTCACTCATAAAGTTTCTAAATTTGAGATTCGCTTTAAAACAAATGTTACCAGTGCTTCAAAATATTTTGAGGACTTAAAAAAATTAGTTACTGGTATTTTAATTAAAAAATGGAACCACGCACATTGGCTCACTTCTGTAATCCCAGTGTGGGAGGGATTTGGGAAGCTAGAGTTAGAAGATTGCTTGAACCCAGGAGTTTCAAACCACCCTGAGCAATGAAGTGAAACCCTGTCTTTACAAATAGTAGCAGCAGTAATAATAATAAGTAAATAAACTAGCCAGGTGTGGTGGCAAGCAGTGGCAGAGGTGGGATGATCATTTGAGCCTAGCAAGTTGAGGCTGTAGTGGGCTATGACTGCGCCATTGCACTGCAGTTTGGGCAACAGAGTGAGACCCTATCTCAAAAATAATAATAAAAGGAACTGTAATACTAGTGATCTCCCTAGGGCTCTGACACTGGGGTACTATTGGCAGACAGCTGCTCATGGCCTCTCCCAGTAGAAGTCTTTTAGAAGTCTCTCACCTGAACCTCACTTTTTCTTCTCCAGGTTGGACTGTCTGGTAGTGGGCTATAATTAAAAGTTACCATAAACCTTTTTTTTTTTTTTAAGATATGGGGTCTCGCCATGTTGTCCAGGCCAGTCTCGAACTCCTGGGCTCAGGCAGTCCTTCCATCTTGGCCTTCCAGAGTGCTGGATTACAGGCATGAGCCACTGTACCCAGCCCATAAATATTTAGTGTGAACACCACATTTCTACAGTGAAATCATCATTGACTTATTCATCAATTGTATATTGAGAGCCTGCGCCAGGCCTCATAGTAGGTTCTTATGAGATGAAGATGAGCAAGACCTACCCTCTGTAGTCAAGGGAGTCTGTAGGTAAGGAAAGTGGCTTTTTTTCCATTTTGTTTCCTTTAAATGTTGGGGTTTTTTTTTTTTTTTGTTTGTTTGTTTTGAGACGGAGTTTTGCTCTTGTTACCCAGACGGGAGTGCAATGGCGCAATCTCGGCTCACCGCAACCTCTGCCTCCTGGGTTCAAGCAATTCTCCCGCCTCAGCCTCCCGAGCAGCTGGGACCACAGGTGCGCGCCACCATGCCCAGCTGATTTTTGTATTTTTAGTAGAGACGGGGTTTCACCATGCCGACCAGGAAGGTTGTAAACCACCCGCCTCAGCCTCCCAAAGTGCTGGGATTGCAGGCATGAGCCACCGCGCCTGGCCTAAATGTTGGTTTTAACCCAGTAACTGATTTTATAGTTCACTAATATGTTGAGACCTTTAGTTTGTGGAGAGCAGTGGTCTAGAATGGAAGATACCTGGGTGAGAGAAACTTTTCTCACACCATCCTAGTTGTTTTGCATCACAAGAAAAATTATACTGTGTATTGCAGCATATACAGTTAACTTATATATCAAGTTTAAGGCTTATTTTTCTTTTCTGAAATTAAGATTCGTTTTGATCTTGCACATCTCAGAGGCTAAAAGCTTATCTCTTAGATCTGGCATGCTTGCAGTGGTCCAGTTTCTAGTTAGAGGAGCTGAGACTCAGTCATACCTGCATAGGAAGGAAGCTGTGGAAAGCCCTCCTTCCTGTCAGTTACTGTCTTTTCCCTAGATATTGTTAATAAGAAGAGCGATTCCCTTTATAATGAATGTATACCTTGAAACCTAGTTTTTCATGTAGACATTTTAAATGAACCTAAGGTAATAATAGCTTTCCTCCGATAATGAATAAGCAAGAAAAATGTCTCTGAATTTCAGGTAATCTCTACCCCAAGAACTTGTATATCAGATGTCATATTTCAAACTATAATCAATATATGATAAAGGCATAAACTCATGATTTACCTGTTTAGTCTGTCATACTTACACTTTTACATCTGTTATGTTATACTTCACGTTTCTTTCTCCTAAGTTTAACTTTATAATTAAAATTCCAGTCCTGTTATTTCACATGTAAGCCAAAAAGTTGGTTTTATTTTACCACAGCTTATTTTTTCTAACTCATGGTATATTAATAGTGATGGAACCACTTTATTTGGGGGGGAGAGTTATAGTTTTCAAGTTCTTTTTATTCTTATCTTTAAGAGATATACTGGCTCCCTGCATTCCTTACGTACCATTATAAAATTCCACTATAACATTTCCTTTGACCTTTGGATAATTTTGCATTTTTCTGTATTGTGTCCAGTTTCTCTAATTTCTGCATGATCTCCAAATTTACAAATCCACTTTTAAGATTGAGAGAAGTATAAAGTCTTTCAGTTACAGTAATAACTGGAGTACAGTTGAACATTCAGCTTTAGAGGCAAGATTGGAGAATGGCAGCTGAAATCAGGACCCTTTCTCACCTTAGGGCATCTTTTATAATATTGACACCACTGTTTCCACTAGATTGCATTGTTTAGTTTTCAAAGATGCCTGAGTTTTTAGTCAAGTGTTTGTGTAAAAGGGAGGCAGAGGTCTTAGATTCATTTTGATTTCAGATACCTGTACTAAGTGGCTTTTAGGTTCTTTGCAGTTTATTTAATGGTATTTATTTCCTTACCACCTCATTCCCAGGGAGAGCTGGACCAGGAACGACTGACCAGGCAGCAAGAACTCACAGCCTTATACCAACTGCAGCACCTGCAGTACCAGCAGTTCTTAATACAGTAAGAACAGCAATGCAGGAGGGTGCACTGCCGCATGAAAAGGGACTTTAAATAGAAACCTGCTGTCAAGTCTCACCTTTTACAAGAGCTAAAGACTTATATGGCACTTCAGTCGCCAAACTAGTGGCGTCTTAACCACTATACGTTCTAATTTTAGTCTTGTCTTTTATATATTTATGTATTTATTTATTTTTGAGACAGAGTCTCACTCTGTCATCCAGGCTGGAGTGCAGTGGTGTTATCTCGGCTCACTACAACCTCCACCTCCTGGGTTCAAGTGATTCTTGTGCCTCAGCCTCCTGAGTATCTGGGAGTACAGGCATGTAGCACCACGCCCAGCCTATTTTTGTATTTTTAGTAGAGATGAGGTTTCACTGTGTTGGTGAGGCTGGCCTCAAACTCCCAGCCTCAAGTGATCTGCCTGCCTCACCTTCCAAAGTGCTGGGATTACAGGCGTAAGCCACAGTGCCCAGCTTATCTTACTTTTAAATATCAGAAGTTTAGATGATGACATGTAACTTTAATTTTGTAAGCTCTTTAGTTTCTAAGTGCCTCCCGAGTGGCTCAGCTTTGAATGCCACCATGGGGTGGGGGAGTGGGGGTTGGGGGGAGTATGGGGAAGCCGTAAGTGAGAGGGTAGGAAAGAAAAGGTTAATTTTTTTTAGGAGTGGTTTGGAATGATGGCAAAGTCAGTCAGATTTTGTTTTGTCTCTTTTGTAGCAGAAAAAATTTTCTGTCATGTAGTGCAGAGGTTTGCAATGTCTGGCCTTTGGGCCAAATCTGGCCTGCTCTCTATTTTTATAAGCAAACTGTTACTGAAACAGACACACCTGTTTGTTTGTAGGTTGTGTATTAACTGCTTTTGCCTTAAGATGGCAGAATTGAGTAGTTGGAACAGAGAGTACATGACTTGCAGAGACGAAACTATTTACTCTCTGGCCCTTTATAAAAGTGTGTCTAACCCTGATCTAGTAAAGAAAAATTACCTAAATTTCTCCAAGTTAAAGAATATCAATGTATGAATTTTTATAGAACTGTTATATTTTTTACAAAGGGTGCTTCATATGGAAAAAGCTACTAGTTTGAATGTGTTTTATTTTCCATTTGTTTTCTGATAAAAGGTTAGTTATCATCTTGGGAGTTTACCAGTTTTTAACATTTGTGATTTTAAAAATATGTTTTCTAAATAGACCACTTTCCACTTAATTGTGGATTTTTTTGCTGTCCTCTTTCACTCAGAAACATGTCATCTGTGGTGAATTCAGATCGTTCCAGAATGAAGCATAGAATTTTCTATATGTCTGTTATCATAATGAAGAATTATTAAATATATCTGATAGCCATTTCTAATAGTGTTTCCTGAGAGGCTTTGAATTGAACTTTGACTTTCAACATCGCAATCACGTGAACTAAATGTGGATTGACAGGTTATACTTTTTTTTACTTCTTTGAAGACAACAATATGCACAGGTTTTGGCCCAACAGCAGAAAGCAGCCCTGTCTTCCCAGCAGCAGCAGCAGTTGGCCCTTCTTCTTCAACAGTTTCAGGCCCTGAAGATGAGGTTGGTGGTCATTCCATTATGTGTCATATTGGGTGCATGTGTTGTGAAAGAAAGAGAGGAAAGGAGATTGTGGTTTAGTGTGTGATTTCTGGTACCAAACACAGCCCATACCTGCCTGTTGTATGTAAAAACTATATATTTTTTTAAAATAATATTTCAGTGGGAGATAAACGTTTATTTGGTCTTTTACTCACAGAGGATAAATTTTGATTAATCAAAAGACCAAAGAACAATGGAAACACTTAAGAAGCAGTGTCATCTTATGGAACCTGCAACATAAAACTGTAGCCTAGGATTTTAATTTCACTTTTATCCATAGTATCTCAAGAAAGTATTAGCCACCCAAGGTTATCATTTTCTAGAACCCAAAAGCCATTAAGGTAGGTCTAAGGAAAAGGAAATTATGACAGAAGTCTAGAATAAATGTCTGCTATTTCAGAGTATCATTCAGAGTAGTATTTCTCCTGAACAAGTATCAGTCACTGCTCTCACAGACCTTAGTGTCTCATTAGCCAAAACTGTTTATGTTTCTTTTGTGCCTTAACCCATCCTGTGAGTTAGGCAGTTTAGGTGATAGGAACTCCACTTTATAGATGGGCAAACTGGGACTCTGAGAGACTAAAGGACTTGATTAATGTAACACACAGGAAACTCAAGAGAAAAAAGTAAAATGCAGGCCTTTACTCTTAAAGTGCATTGACTTTTTCATTATAACGTGCTGTCTCTGTGTCTTCTATTGAGATGATCTGGGTTTTTAAAGACAGTAAGTATATCCGTTATTTAGAAGTCAATTCTCTTTTACCATAGAGGATTCCAGAAGTGTGATCATTGTGCCCTTTTCTTCCACTCCAAACCGCTTTGGTAGTGTTAGGTTTTAGTAAAACAGTGAAGGTGTTTTCTAGCGAAATAACCTGGAGAACCTACAAGTAATCTAGAAATTCCTCTTTATCTTTTTTCTTTTTTTGCAAATGATAAGAACAAGTTAATTTTTTATTTCCCTTTTGCAGAATATCTGATCAGAACATCATTCCCTCAGTACCTAGGTCTGTGTCGGTGCCAGATACTGGATCTATCTGGGAGCTTCAGCCAACAGCTTCACAGGCTACAGGTAAAAACTTAGACTGAACTTTAGTACCACTTTAAGGATTTAGAGTGTAATAATAATTTTATAATTCACCTCTTCAAAAATATATTAGGTTTCTAGATTCATTTTGTATTGCATATTAAGAAAAGGTCGGTTTTTTTTACTAGATCCAAGCAATATTGAAGGTATTACTGAAAATATACTTTTAAGGATTTGTTTGAAATTATTTAGTGGATTTTTTTGTTTTTTGAGTCAGCATCTCTTTATGTTGATCTGATCAGTGTGGAAAAATCATTTAAATTATTTTTTATCTCTTTAGCCAGATTAAAAAAAGCATACATATAAACAAAGTAACAGTGATCTATTCTTTTGAGTTAAGAATTAATACCAGCCAGGCATGGTGGTGTGTGCCTGTAGTGCTAGCTACTCAGGAGGCTGATGTGGGAGGATTGCTTGAGCCCAGGAGTTTCAGGCTTATGATCATGATAAGACACTTCAGCCTGGGCAACAGAGCCAGATTCTTGTCTCTAAGAAAATAAAAAAAGAGAGAGAGAGCTGGGCAGAGTGGCTCACACCTGTTATCCCAGCATTTTGGGAGGCCAAGGCAGGCAGATCACCTGAGGTTGGGAGTTTGAGACCAGCCTGACCAACATGGAGAAACCCCATCTCTACCGAAAATACAAAATTAGCCTGGCATGATGGCGCATGCCTGTAATCCCAGCTATTTGGAAGACTGAAGCAGGAGACTGGCTTGAACCCAAGAGGCGGAGGTTATGGTGAACCAAGATCACGCCACTGCACTCCAGCCTGGGCAACAAGAGCGAAACTCTATCTCAAAAAGAAAAAAAAAGAATTGATGTAACGAATACTGTAGATACCTGAAATTTTGGGAAAAGAAAAACCTGCTACGAAGTGAACGCCTTTTCTCATTTTTATCTTTTTACATCAAATTAGATTCTTTGGGGTTGAGTTTTTTTTAAGTCTTGGTATTGGTGGAGCATCTCTGTTTCTTTTCTTTCTCCCCCCCCGCCGCACTGTCACCTAGGCTGGAGTACAGTGATGTGATCTCGGCTCACTGCAATCTCCGCCTCTCGGGTTCAAGCGATTCTCCTGCCTCAGTCTCTGAAGTAGCCGGGGTTACCTACAGGCACATGCCGTCACACCCGGCTGATTTTTGTATTTTTAGTAGAAATGGGATTTCACCATGATGGTCAGGCTGGTTTTAAAGTGACCTCAAGTGATCCACCCACCTTGGCCTCTCAAAGTGCTGAGATTACAGTTGTGAGCCACTGTGCCCAGCCGAGCACCTCTGTTTCTTAAGGTCTAAATACCTGCAGAGGTGGGTAGTTTGATCCATGGTTAGTCCTTTCAAGAGATCATAGTTGGTATTGAGATTCCCCAAGAACTATATGCCTTGATGGAGTTTGTCTTGAGCTGTTGAGCTGTTCAGGTCATGCTTCCGTTGTTTACACTGACCTTACAGATTATAACAGAAGAATGGCTGCTCATTAGATCAGAAGGATGGATGCTGTTTGTACCTTATTTTCTCTTGGTAGCCATTTATAGTTAGAATATTAAGAATACAGGCTGAGCACCATTCCCTAATCCAAAAGTCCACAATCCAAAATGCTCCAAAATCTAAAACTTTTTGAGCGCTGACATGATTTCACTAGTGGAAGTTTTGTTTTGTTTCTGTTTTTGAGGCAGAGTCTCACTCTGTTGCCCAGGCTGGAGTCCAGTCGCACAGTTTCGGCTCACTGCAACCTCTGCCTCCTGGGTTCAAGAGATTCTCCTGCCTCAGCCTCCCAAGTAGCTGGGATTACAGGTGCCCACCACCATGCCTAATTTTTGTATTTTTGAAAGAGTTGGGGTTTCACCACATTGGCCAGGCTGGTTTCAAAATCCTGGCCTCAAGTGGTCTGCCTGTCTTGGCCTCCCAAAGTGCTAGGATTACAGGCACAAGACATGGCACCCACCCCACGAGTGGACAATTTTACACATAAATACTTAACGTAAACATTTTGTTCATGCCCCAAATTATTAAAAATGTTGCGTAGGTCAGGTGCAGTGGCTCACACCTATAATCCCAGCACTTTGGGAGGCTGAGGTAGGTGGATCACAAGGTCAGGAGTTCGAGACCAGTCTGACCAACATGGTGAAACCCTGTCTCTATAAAAATACAAAAGTTAGCCAGGTGTGGTGGCACGTGCCTGTTATCCCAGCTACTCAGGAGGCTGAGGCAGGAGAATCGCTTAAACCCAGGAGGCAGAGGTTGCAGTGAGCTGAGATCACGGCACTCCACTCCAGCCTGGGTGACAGAGTGAGATTCCATCTCAAAAAAAAAAAAAAAAAAAAGTCACATAAAAGTACCATCAGGCTATAGGCTATGTCTAAAAGTGTTTATGAAAGATTAGTGAATTTTTTGTTTAAACCTGGATCTCATCCCAAAGATAGCTCATTATGTATATGCAGATATTTCAAAATCTGAAAAAAAATCCAAAATTTGAAATGCTTTTGGTCTTAGGGCATTTTGGTTAATGGATACTCAACCTGCATTCTCCAGTGTTTTGGAAACTTTTAAATACTCTATTAAACAGTTTATTTCTTTGGGTTTGTATGCAGTCAAAGTCCTTTACCAATAGTCTGGTTTTATACAGATAATATTTGGTAGTTTATAAATAGACTATGATAGGAATGTAGAAAATAGAGAATGCTGAAAAGCAATACCAGCAAACTTCACTGGCAATAGGAAAATGAACTCAGAAGCCATTATCTGTTTACTTCCAAATGTGATCTTGCAGTGCCTTTCAGGTTAGCAGGACCAGATCTCATTTGTGAGACCTGCCTAGCTTTCCAGAGGCCTCTGCAGCTCCAGCTGTGATGCTTACTTGCAGTCTGTCTTTATTGAGATGAAATTCACTTAACACAAAATTAACCATTTTTTAAAGTGAACAGTTCAGTGGCATTCACAATCTTGTGTAACCACCTACTTCTCTCTAGTTGGTGTGCAGTAAGAGGCTGAATGGTTATTGGAAATCTGTGGGCTTTGGAATCTAACACACTGGGATTGAAATCCTGACATGGCTGCTTACTTGCTATGTGCCCTTGGGAGTGTTAGGAACTACTGCTGACTTACATGGCTTTGTAAGGATGAGGTTAATTTTGTAATAAATGTCTGGTACTTCACTTCATTCTAGATGTGTTAAAGGATATTCATAGAAGCTAGAGTCCATTCACAGTTCAGTCTACTTAGAAGCAAAACAGATTATGTTTGGTGGAGCTCATTTAGGCACAGGGAAGCAGCTTTTTTCATGATTCCTACGGATATGTTACCATGTATGTAAGCTCTGTCATCCTTATTTCTTTCTTTTGTTGTCTTACAGTTTGGGAAGGTGGCAGTGTATGGGATCTTCCTCTGGACACCACGACACCAGGCCCTGCCCTGGAACAACTTCAGCAGCTAGAGAAGGCGAAAGCTGCAAAGGTCTGAAACTCATTCTTCTACAGCAGTGCATTGCCATCTTGCTGCAGGACATAAACATTGCTGTTTATCATCTCTCTAGTTAGCTAGCTGTACTTTTTACTTTCACTTTACTGCTGCTTAGCTGGTATAAGTACATTTGTATTGTATCTGTATTGTACCCTCTTCTCCCAAAAAAATTTCAAAACAGAATTTAAATTACTATGTTTGGATTGGTTAGTTGGCATATTGATGATTACAGACACAAATATATTTTAGTTACATTATTTATGGTATGAACATTTGTTAAGACTGTGAGAAAATATCCACTACATTATGGATGAGACTCCTGATATGTGGCTTGAGTTCTCCCATTGAATTTTTATAGTGGTGTTTGTTTATGTTTCTTAGTATCCTCAGACATACCAGCCAAAAGCCCAACAGTAACATTAGATCGTGAGTTCCATTCAGTTTTTGGAAGAGCTAAATCTTAAATTTTGGTTTTAGTACTTGCCAGAAAAGAATGTCTACATCAGTTACTTAATGTCTTTGCCATGATTTTAGGTTCTCATGCCTACAAGAGAGTGTTGTTACTGTGTGAGACTCAGTGCAGTCTTATCCCCTGAGGGTGTGACAGTCTCTTTAGACTGCCCAGAATGTGGAAAGTTTCATTCAGCATTGCTATTAAAACATTATAGCCACACTGCTGAATGTTCAATCAGAAAATTCTTTGTGGTGTAATGGTAACGTGGAGTGTGGAGGCAAGTATAGGTGGGAGGAAAGTGTATTCAGTTGCGACGAGCATAAAATTCTTCTAATTACTGTGATATGTCACAGCTTAGAGTTCTTACAGTGTGTTCATGTTGTAGCATATATCAGAATTTCCTTCCTTTTAAAGGTTGAATAATATTAATTTTCCATTGTATGTATATACCATATTTTGTTTGTCTGTTGATCTGTTGGATCACCCAGTTGCAGTACAGTACAAGTAACTGATTGAATGGATAATACTTGTCAGTCCTTTGGGAGTGTTCCTGTGCTTGGTTTCCATTTTCTAAGAGTACTCTTGTGTCACCACAGCTAGAGCAAGAGAGAAGAGAGGCAGAAATGAGGGCAAAACGGGAAGAGGAAGAGCGAAAGAGGCAAGAAGAACTTCGAAGACAACAAGAGGAAATTCTTCGGCGACAGCAGGAAGAAGAAAGGAAAAGGCGAGAGGAAGAAGAACTTGCCCGAAGGAAACAGGTATATTTCTGGGAACTCTGACCATAAGATAGTGCTTGATGAAGTCCACAGGATTGGGGTTAGAACCTTAGAAGACTCATTCACCTTGGAAAGAATCTCTGTTTTCTACCAACACCCACTTAGGTATATTCTTCAGTCCTAGTAAACCACTGGAATTTATTTTCTTTGCATTTTTCCTAGCATTTTATAAACGAGTTAGATTTCAGAAGTTCTGTCCTTGTGGCTAAAAACAATGAGAAAAGTAACTGACGTGCAGCATTAAATGTCAAATTCTGAAAGCCACATGGACTTTAAGAAAATTATGCTAACATATACATAAAATTTACCATTTTAAATATACTTTCAGTGGTGTTAAGTATAATCATTCACATTGCTGTGCAGCCCTCACAAACATGTCTAGAACTTCTCCAACTTTGCAAACCGAAACTGCATACCCCTTAAACAAGGAGCCCCACGCCCTCCATCCCATAGCTCCTAGTAACCACCATTCTTCTTTCTGTATCTGTGAATTTAAACTAATTCAATTCCTTATGTAAGTAGAATTATACAATGTTTGTCCTTTTGTGATGGGCTTATTTAATTTCAGTTTTATTCATGTTGTAGCATATATCAGAATTTCCTTTGTGAAGGTTGAATGATGTTACATTGTGTGTTTATCCATTTCTCTGTTGATGGACATTTGGATGACGCCCACGTTTTGGCTCTTGTTAAAAATGCTGCTGTAAACATGGTTATATAGATGCTTGTTTGAGTCCTTGCTTTCAACTCAAATTTTGTGTATACCCCTAGAAGTGGAATTGCTGGATCATATGGTAATTCTCTTATTTTTTTGAGGAACTACCAGATTGTTTCCAACAGCAGCTACTCCACTTTACATTCCTGCTGGCAATGCACAGCCATTTCAGTGTCTCCAGGTTCTCACCAACACTTTATTGTTGTTGTTTGTTTTTGTTTATTTCTCTTTGATAATGGCTTTTTAAATGGGTATGAAGTGGTATTTCATTGTAGTTTTGATTCCCATTTCCCCAATGGTTAGTGTTGTAGAGCGTCTTTTCACATGCTTATTGACCATTGAGACGTACTTTTAAAGAGTGTCTTTGACTAAGACCTCTGCCTTCTCTTTATTCTTTCCCTTAATGAATCTCATCTCTCTATTTTAATGACTAGTGTTTCAAAATAGGGAGCAAAAAAAAAAAAAAACTACACATATATTTGCTTTATAACATTTTCTACTATATAGCGGGGCAAAAACCAGAAAGATAAGACAAATTTTATTTTTCCCCTAGAAAATAGGTTTTCATTTGAAGAAATTTAGACAGAAATCATCTAGCAATAATTTCAAATATAACCATGTTTGTGGATGGTATGAGATGAGGGTCTGATTTCATTCTTCTGCCTATGGATATCCAGTTTTCTCACCAGTTTATTAAAGAGACTATTCTTTCTCCATTTTTCCCATTGTGTGTTTCAGGCATCTATGTGAAAAATCAATTGAGTGTAAATGTGTGGATTTATTTCTGGGCTTTGTATTCTCTCTTTGCTTTCTTCTTCTTTTTTTTCAAGACAGTCTTACTCTGTCACCCAGGCTGGAGGTCTATATCATTTGTACTTGTTTTATAACCCTCCTTTTGACATTAATGAATTATGTTATCTTTCCATGTCAAAAATCTAAAAATTTACATTATAAAAATTTACATCATATTTGCTAGCTGTATAAAATTTCACTTTATAAGTGAATTATAGTAAGTTAATTAGTTCCCTATTGTTGGACATGGGCGTTGTTTCCAGTTCATCACTGTTAGGTAAGTGTTTGAATGAAAGTCCTCGTAGCTTTCTTTGTTTAAGGATTTATAACCAGGGAAGTATAACATTTTTAATGTTTTTTGGTCTTTTTTTCTTTTTCTTTTTCTTTTTTTTTTTTTTTTTGTGAAGGGAGTTCACTGTTAATGTGCTTGGCTCATTTTTCCATTGGGCTTTTCCTAGATTCCAGTTGAAAGGATCCACACTCTTAATAGCCCCATGGGCTAGCCTTTACCACTTGTTTCCTACTTGTTGGCCCCAAGAGATGCTCTGTGAAAAACAAAAAAGATCCATGCTGAGATGTAATTAGAACTACTGTTAATTCTTAGAATCACACTACACCGTAGCACATAGAGGCTCCAAAGAATGTTACAGTAAAGAAGTATGTTTAATTCTGTGTTGCTCAGTTTTCTATAAGTGATCTCAAAAATGGGACCTCTTTTGTGTAATACTTAATAGTATTGGTGGGACTTTTGATCTTCAAAACAAGTTCTAGGACAGTTGGCTTTTACTTAGTACTTCTGACTGGGAGAACTTATCTTACCCAAAATTGTTGGTGGCTGTGTTGATTTGCCCTCTTGTTGCCTTAAGTTCCCAGTTGGTTAAAAAATAGGGATTAAAGATAGCAGTAGAGAAACCAAAGGTTTAATTCTAATGTAGCTCTTTCTAGGGTTAATCAGTAAATTATTTAGCTAATATAGAAACCAGGATAGACTTACAGTGTATTGTAATTTAACTACTAATATTTTAAATTCAGTTTTCTTTTTATTGTAATGTGTTCTGTTCCTGAACTTACATGTATAATTTTTACTCCAGATCCTGATTATATACTTTCATATTTACTGTTTAATGGATTCTTAGCAGCACATAGCCTATTCAAATGTGACATAATAAATTGATTGTTAGACCTGAGTTCCTCCCACACCCTCCATCTTTTGTCCTTAGGAAGAGGCTCTGCGTCGCCAGCGGGAACAAGAAATTGCATTAAGGCGACAGCAAGAAGAAGAAGAAAGACAGCAGCAAGAAGAAGCTCTTAGAAGACTGGAAGAGAGGAGAAGAGAGGAGGAAGAAAGGCGGAAGCAGGAAGAATTGTTACGCAAACAGGTGACCAGATGGTTTTCTCTTCTAATTGTTCCGTTGAAGTTGGGAATTAGTGATTTAGAAAATATTAGGACATTAAGATAGCCTACCTAAAATTTTTTCAGGTTGCTAAAAATTACCAAAAGAAACCTAACTGGGTCTTATTACGTCTGTCTAAATTTCTTCAAATGAAAACCTATTTTCTCGAGGAAAAATAAAAATTTGTCTTATCTTTCTGGTTTTTGCTTAGCTATATAGTGGAAATGTTGTAAAATAAGTGTTTTTTTTTTTTTTAGCTAGTTTGAAAGTTAAAATAAGCAGAATAGTGCAACATAAATCACCCAACAATAATTTCTGACATAATGATTTTTGTGTATAGTGTGAGATGAGGCTCTGATACCATTCTGCCTGTTGATATCTAGTTTTCCCATCACCATTTATTAAAAAGACTGTTCTTTCCCCACTGTGTGTTTTTGGCATCTGTGTCAATGAGTGTAAATGTGTGGATTTATTTCTGGGCTTTATAGTCTCTTTTTGCTTTTTTTTTTTTTTTAAATCAAGAGCCTCACTCTGTTGCTCAGGCTGGAGTGCAGTGGTGCTATCTTGGCTGACTGCAGCCTCTGCCTCCCCAGCTCAAGCAATTCTTGTGTCTCAGCCTCCTGAGTACCTGGGTCTACAGGCTTGCGTCACCACATCCGGCTAATTTTTTTGTATTTTTAGTAGAGACGGAGTTTTGTCATATTGGCCAGGCTGGTCTCAACTCCTGGCCTCAGATGATTTGCCTGCCTCAGCCTCCTAAAAGTGCTGGGATTAAGGTGTGTCTTTTGCTTTCTTGACTGTATTCTTTGAAACATGTAATTTTTTCATTTTGATCATGTCCAAGTTATCATTTAATTGAATTAATTAATTTATCTACTTATTTTAAGACAAACTGTTAAGATGAAATCTCACTCTGTTGCCCAGGCTGGAATACAGTGGTGCAGTCTTGGCTCACTGCAGCCTCTGCCTCCCAGGTTTAGGCATTTCTTCCGCCTCAGCCTCCCGAGTAGCTGGGACTACAGGCATGCGCTGCCATGCCTGGCTAATTTTTCTGTTTTTGATAGAGAGGGGGTTTTGCCATGTTGGCCAGGCTGCTCTTGAACTCCTGACCTCAGATGATCGCCCTCCTCAGCCTACCAAAGTGCTGGGGTACAGGTGTGATTCCTCGCACCTGGCCAATAATGTCCAATTTATCATTTATTTATTTATTTATTTATTTATTTATTTTTGAGACGGAGTTTCGCTCTTGTTACTCAGGCTGTAGTGCAATGGCGCGATCTTGGCTCACTGCAACCTCTGCCCCCTGGGTTCAGGCAATTCTCCTGCCTCAGCCTCCTGAGTAGCTGGGTTTACAGGCACGCGCCACAATGCCCAGCCAATTTTTTTTTTTTTGTATTTTTAGTAGAGACGGGGTTTCACCATGTTGACCAGGATGGTCTCGATCTCTTGACCTCGTAATCCACCCTCCTCGGCCTCCCAAAGTGTTAGCTATTTTTTTTTCTCTCACAAGTTGTATACTTTTAGCTCTTTCAGGTTTACATTCTTTATATTCTCAGTGCATGTTCTTTGTTAGGTAAATGTTGTGTGTACTTTCCTCCAGGCTATAGCTTGTCTATTTGTTTTCCTAGGGGCATCTTTTGATAAACAGATTTTTAATGTTGATGAAATCCTATTAAATTTGTCTTTTATTATTAGTGGGTTTTTTTTATTTCCTCTCTGTATAAGAAATATTTGCCCATGTACAGATTATTAAAATATCTCCTGGTTTTTTTTTAAGCTTTATAGTTTTGGTTTTACAAATAGTTGGAATTATTTTTTCTGTATGATGTGAGGTATGGGTTGTTCCAGTGGCAGTTTTCGAATAGTCTTTACTTTTTCTGTTGAATTTTTGATGCTTTTGTCAAAGTCAATTGTATAACTATGGTTTTTTTTTTTTAATGGACTCTTCCCTTCTGTTCCACTGGTAAGTTTGCCTGCCTTTAAATGAGTACGCACTGATTTGATTACTATTATAGCTTTGTAGTAACTAGAAGTCAATCAGTGTGTCTTTCAGCTTTGCTTTTTTATTCAAGACTGCTTGACTAAGATCTTTTGCCTTCTCATTAAAATTTAAAATTATCGAGCAGTTCGGCGGTCCGTGGATCTGTCTCTTGCTTCAACAGTGTTTGGATGGAACAGATCCCGGGGACTCTTTCTTCCAGCCTCCGACCGCCCTCCAATTTCCTCTCCACTTGCAACCTCCGGGACCGTTGTCTCGGTCATCTCCTGCTTCTGGGAACCTGCTAACACCGTTTTTGTGGTTAGCTCCTTTTTGCCGACCAACCATGAGCTCCCAGATTCGTCAGAATTATTCCACCGATGTGGAGGCAGCCATCAACCACCTGGTCAGTGTGTACCTGCAGGCCTCCTTCACCTACCTCTCTCTCTGGCCTACTATTTCGGCCGCAGTGATGTGGCTCTGGAAGGCGTTAGCCACTTCTTCCGCGAATTGGCCGAGGAGAAGCGCGAGGGCTACGAGTGTCTCCTGAAGATGCAAAACCAGCGTGACGGCCGTGCTCTTTTTCAGGACATTAAGAAGTCGGCTCAAGATGAGTGGGGTAAAACCCTGGACGCCATGGAAGCCGCCATGGCCCTGGAGAAAACTCTGAACCAGGCCCTTTTGGATCTTCATGCCCTGGGTTCTGCCCACACGGACCCCCATCTCTGTGACTTCCTGGAGAGTCACTTCCTAGATGAGGAAGTGAAAATCATCAAGAAGATGGGTGACCACCTGACCAACCTCTGCAGGCTGGCCGGCCCACAGGCTCGGCTGGGCCAGTATCTCTTTCAAAGGCTCATTCTCAGGCACAACTAAGAGCCTACTGAGCCCAGCGACTTATGAAGGGCCTTTGGGGCCTTTGCAAAATAACAGGGCTTCTGCCTAAGCCTCTCCCTCCAACCACTAGGCAGCTTTCTAACTACCCTAACAAGCCTTGGACCGAACGGAAATAAAGCTATTTGAAGCAAAAAAAATAAAATAAAATTATCTTCTTAATCTCTATATAAGAGCCTACTGTGATTATGATTTAGATTGTGTGGACTCTATACATTGAGGAGAATTTGTATTTTAAGATATATTGAGTCTTCAGGCAATGAACATGGTATATCTTTCCACTTATTTATGTTTTCCTAGTTTTTTTTCTCAGTACCATTTTGTTTTCGTTATACAGGTTATGTACATCTTTAAAATTTTGATTTTTTTTGCTATTATAAATGGAATTTTGTAAGTTTATTTTTCATCTCTATATAGAAATGTAATTGATTTTCATATCCTGATCTTATATCCTGAGACCTTGTGAATCTGAACTTACTACCTCTAATAGTATTTTTGTTGATTCTTTAGGATTTTCTATGGAATCTTATTGATAAATAGGAACAGTTTTAATTCTTTTCATCCTTGGAAAGAAATGGTTAAAATGAATAATGGACAGCCTTATTTCCAGTATTAGGGAGAAAATGTCCAGTATTTCACTATTAAATATGTTGATAGTTTTTCCTAAGTATCTGTTATCCAACTGAAGAAGTTTCTTTCAACTCCTAGTTTACTAAAAGTTTTTCCATGAATAGATATTGAGGCTTTAAAATGCTTTATCTGCATTGATTGATGATCATTTAGTTTTCTCATTCTGTTCATATGGTAAATTATACTATTAATAACTGAGTTTTGAAGGTTAAGCCAACTTTGTGTTCCTGGATTACCACCCTACTTTTGTTAAGAATATTTGCATCTGTGTTCATGAGGAAGAGATAGGTCTGTAATTTTCTTTCTCTTCTTTCTTTCTTTCTTTTTTTTTTTTTAAGATGGTCTCACCCTGTCATCCAGGCTGCAGTGCAGTGGCATAGTCTCAGCTCACTACAGCCTTGACCTCCCATGCTCAATCATGCCTCCCACATCAGCTGCCTTAGTAGCTTGGGCCTCAGGCACATGCCACCATGCCTGGCTCATTTTTTAAATTTTTTATAGAGATATGGGTTCTTGCTGTGTTTCCTAGGCTGATCTTGAATTCCTGGGCTCAAGCTAAGAGTTCTCCTGTCTTAGCCTCAAAGTGGTGGGATTACAGGAGTGAGCCGCCATGCCTAGCCTATAATTTTCTTACAATGCTTTTGTTCCATTTTGGTGTCAGGTTTATGCTGGCCTCTTAAATTGAAATGTGATACTTTTTATTGTTTTCTGAAAAAGTTTGTATAAGATTAAAATTATTTCCAAAGTTTGTATAAGAATGGAATTATTTCTTTATTTTCACAGCTCATTTTATTGTGCTTCACTTTCTTGTGCTTTGTATGTATTTTATTTTTTTACAAATTGAAGGGCTTGTGGCAGCCCTGAATTGAGCAAGTCTGTTGGCCACAGCGTGTGCTCACTTTGTATCACATTTTGGTAATTCTTGTAATGTTTCAGATTTTTTTTTTACTATTATATCTGTTATAAGTGATATAATAGTAAAAAAAAAAGTAATGTATTAAAAACTGTGACATGTAATTAAAGTGATCTGTGATAAATGACTTTTGATGTCACTATTGAAATTGTGGAGTGCTGTGAATTGTACCCACATAATACAGAAAACTTAATCCATACCTATTGTGGATGCTCTGACTATTCTACTGACGGGCTGTTCCCTGTCTCTCTTCTTCTCCTTGGACCTCCCTATTCACTGAGGCACAACATTATTGAAATTAGGCCAGTTAATAACTCTACAGTGGCCACTAAGAGTTCAGGTGAAAGGAAGAGTCACATGTCTCTCACTTTAAACTGAATGCTAGAAATGATTAAGCTTAGTGAGGATGGCATGTCAGAAGCTGATGACATAGGCCAAAGGCCAGGCCCCGCTGTGCCAGTTAGCTAAGTTGTAAATGCAAGGGAAAAGTTCTTGAAGGAAGTTAACAGTGCTACTCCAGTGAACACGTGAATGACAAGAAAGCCAAACAGTCTTAGTGCTAATATGGAG